TCAAATAACATAATTATAATAACAAAATTGGAAATCACGTACGCATAGACAATTTCATGGAAAGTTAATTATATAGCGTATTATATTAAATTATAATATACGTGTAAAATATAATTAAAGGATTAAGTATACGATATTTCAAATATAATATCATATCGTGATACTTATTGAGGTATTTTTAATGGGAGTTTCATATCTTTTCATTATCAATATAGATATTGCGCTCGATTTTTATTTGATTCATTCATATGTTTAATTAACGATATATAGGATTTGGTCGACTACTCGCTAATTAACTTTCTTTGTATATTCGATTCATACGTAGGAAACGAACCATTCGTTAAAAATTTGTTATCAATTGAGAAACGGTTAATGATGTGCAAATTTGAGATTACAAATAAATACGTCTAATAAAAAATCGATACATTTTGTCGAAAATATTTCATTACAATTGAATAGTAGAACGAATAGAGTGAAAAAATAAAAATTTGTTAAAACTTATCTAATACGAATAAATTTGTTTAATAATAAAATTAATTTATAGAATGATCAATTTTTCTTTATAATAGAAAAAAAAAATTAAAATTAAATTTGCGTCCAATTTACATTGTTCTTCGTAGCTACTACGGCTGTTAATTCTTTGCTTTTCGGTTAAATTCTATTTTAGTTTTTTTTTATTTTTTTTTTATTTTTTTAACCTGAATTAATTCTCGCGATCAATAATTAGATTTTCGATGAAACAAAACTTGTTTCGAAATTACGAAGTGAGAGAAAGTGTAAGAAGGGGAATGAGAAAAAAAGTAACATTTCGTTGCTGGTAGAGCTTTTACCGAGTTTATTAGTATTGGAAATTGTTTCTTTCACGTAATACGATTATATCGTAGATAAAAAACTCTTATTCCAATAAACTCGGCCGTAGTTTTGCATCAACAATTATACCGTGATATTGCATCCTTCGAAAGTAACTTCCTTTATTAGCTGTTCAACTTTTCAATCCATTTCCATGGTAAACCATCAATTTGAAAAAAGAAAAACTTTTCATGGACAAGAAAAATTCCAATAAATTAAATTTACAAAAATAACAGGAAAATAAAAAGTAACGCAAAAAATAAAGTGCATTAAATAACAGAATCATTAAAAAAAGAAAAACGCAGAAAACGAAAACAAATCTGTTATTTTTAGCATAAAAAATATTTGCAACGTACGAACGATCTCGTATTGTTTATTGATTATTTTACTTGTATACATATATCACTAAACTTTACGTATTTTGCTTTCTCTTAATAAAATCATTTTACACGTAAAAAAAAAAAAGAAAAAAGAAAATACTAGTAAAACAGAAAGGTAACGAAAGTTCCTGTTATTTCTGACGTAAAAAACATTTCCATTATTTGAACGATCTCGCGCATTTGTTTATTACTCCCCTTTATTTATTTAAGATATTGAAATAAAAAAAAAATAAAAAAGAAGAACCGTGCGTATTTTTCTTTCCCTTTAAAAAATCATGTAAAAAACAAAAGAAAAGGAAATGAAAAAAATAATATATAAAATAATAAAAGAAAAAGAAAGCAAAATGAAAAAAGAAATAATGTATTAGTAGGGAAACTAAAAGAAAATAGGAAAAGTAGAAGGAAAGGACATAAAAATCAAATAAGGAAAAAGAATAAGGGTAAAACGGGATGAAATTTATTTAACGGTTCGGTGAATCAACTGGCGTTAACGCCGAGGAACGCCGCAGGAAGCAAATTTTGACTCGTATCGCTCGATATATCTTTCAGCTCGTGCCGAGACAGTGGCTATCAGTCACGAAACCCTCGTCTATCCAATCTGAACCATCCCATAGTCGACGACCCACAACTACCCCAACGTTCCACCTCTTATCCTTTGGATACTCATCCACCTACCCCATCTGGTTCCACTACAATTTTATGGATCATCAATCACCGATGCACTGCCACCGATCCAACGTTAACGCGAAACTTTTTTCGAAAAGATATGCTCGGAGAGAAACAAAACAAAAAAGTCAAACAAATTATTGTGGAAACTGCGACCACATTGTCGGAAAATTTCTGTGCATCTGAGATTTAAAAAAAAGAAGAATAGGAGAAAGAGAAACGCATAATTTATTTCCATGATGCTTAACAAGCTTGGTTCCTTGGTCATAGCGAAAGAATGTAGCCGAAAACATTACCAGATAGTAGAAAGAAATACTATTATATATATGTAAATATATACTATATAACTACTATATACTATATACTATATATATAATACTATTATAAATATATATGTTGTATATATATAAATACAATAGAATGATAATTTAGTGCATAAAAATATTATATATAATATTCTTAGATAAAAAAAATTCGAACAGTATAGGGAATTAATAATGTTACAATATCAGCAGTAATTTTATTATAAAGATATATGCGTAATTATCTATAATATATATACACACACACATATATATATTAAACAGTAAAAAGAAATATAAAAAGACATTTCTGATTGAAAATCGATACAACCATTTGCTTGTATGACTGTAAAAATTCCTATCCACCTTCGGGCTACGTGACGAATACAGAGTCGAATATAACATACTCGCAAGCGTAATTCAGCATCGTTACTAAGCAATATATTTCAATACTTTATATCTCATGGTTCTTTGAAGAAGATATCAGTGATCGTAGTTGTTTATCCGAGTGTATATATACGATATTCATTCTATTTCTTCCTTGTATCTTGGTCAAAGATTCTGAAATGATCTTTGCAATCGTCTACCTTTTTATCCTTTATCGATGAGAAAAGAAAAAAAACGTATCAAAAGCATCGAATGCATCGAATCCGTTCAAAGCTACTCATCAACGAACATCAAGAATGTCCAATTCTTTTACGCGCACGAACTAACAGAATTTGATGTACATATATTCAACTTCATGTATTTTTTTATTGAGATAATATAAAACACTAGTTTTCCATTTAATAACTTGTCTAACACTCTGCTCATGTCAGACACGGGCAGCCATTAAAATTTCAGAAAGATAATGAAGTAATTAGTTTTAATCTTTTTTTTTAATTCACAAGCATTTGAATAGAATGAGTAAATAAAAAAATTTTTAATTTACTGTAGGGAAAAAAAATGTTAAACCCATTAATAAGATAAGTGATCAATATATATATAATATTGAATTGAAATTTTTGGGAAAAAATAGGGGGATAAAAACGTTGACGTTTATTGTCATAAACATGATAACGATTCTCGTTAGACCACTAACGAAATATTTATCTTAAGTGGATATCGTTGATTGTATTCCCGATTGGATATAATATTCGCATCCCAAACGACCATGGGCATGGTTTTGAAGAAATTAGAAAACATTACCATTACTACTATTATATACGAAAAAATAAACGTAAAGCTCGGTATTCATTTTTTTTTGTCGAGAAAAAAAACTCGCAAGAGATGATAGTCTCTATATGCCGAGTATTACGGGGCTTATCGAACGGACACAGCTGCCATCGATGGATATATATATCAGGGCAAATTCGCCGTGATAGTAGATGAATTTCGAGTAAAATGTCCTTCCGGTTCGCCCGCAGACGATCCAAATAACGCGCGAGTACAGTTAAATTCAACAACACGACAAATCAGTTGATAAAACCTATAACAATAAGTTGACTAAAAGAACATTGCTGTTCGAATCATTGCAAATGTTGATTATATTCCTCTCCCCTTCCTCCCGGTATTTATAACAATTGATTGAGTCAACAAGTTCATATTACAATTTATTTTGAAACTTAACTCATTATGATTATTAATAAAATCTTATTTCTATAATAAAAATTAACATATACGTGTAATCATGTTTATTTAAATATATTTATAGGTGTATATATTAAAAAGAAAAGTAAATTCAAAAACACATAAATCTATATACAGTTACACCTAATAGTGTTAAGAAATAGAGAGAGAGAAAGAGAGAGAGAAAGAAAAAGGAACAAAAAGAGAGAAAAGTATAAAGTCGGAGAAAATTTTGGTAGCAGGTACGTAGGTTATAGGACGTTTATAAGACAAATATCATTTTTATCGGAATTCGAGAAAATTCCTCAGTGTGGTGGTGGTGGTGGTGGGTTCGCGTGAATTATCGCGACCGTACAAAGGTGTACAGGATCGGACAGTGAAAAATGAGAGGACGTATTTGCAATATTCGATCAATAAGTTACACGGCTCATAGGTGGTGGTCGTTCAGCAGGAGGGCACCCTTTTCGGATTGAACTCGGCTAGGCCGACACTCTGCGGCCGCATCGCAGGCCACACGTAGTCCATGTCAGAATTGTAAGCTCGAATTTTATAACCCCGCAATGACCAGGCACGTTTCTCGTTCAACTTTCTTTCTTTCTTTCTTTCTTTCCTTTTTTCTTTTTCTTTTTCATTTTACCTTTTCCTTTCTTTTCATTTCTCTTTTTCTCTTTCCTTCACTAGTACCCTTCTCTCTCTCTCTCTCTTTCTCTCTCTCTCTCTCTTTCTCTCTCTCTCTCGCTCTCTCTCTCTCTCTCTGACATACACGACATTCGAATCACTTGAACCGATAGATCGATAAAAAATTTTACTCTTTGCGGTCTTTCCTTTTTCAACGAGAGATCATTCACATCGTTCAAACTCAATTCTTTTTCTTTTTTTTATTTCTTCTTCTCTTCTTCTCCTTTTAGAAAAGTATTCCAAAAATCTGGCTCTCTTTCCCATTTTATGACATAAAGGAAAAAGCATATCTCGTTCACGTCAATGACAATCGAAATGAATTTACCACGATGACATTCGATCTAGAACAAATAAAAAATTTCATCACTTTTATTTTTAATTTTAGAATAATGTATAATAAAAAATATATATAATAAAAAATATATATATATATATATATAAATGGAGAAAAACTTGGTTAACTATTCTATCTAACTTTAAGACCATTCTATCGTTATTTTATTTCGTTTTGTTACAGAAGCACGTGCCAGGATAAACGGAACATCGGATATTTACGTTAAAACTGGGAGTCTCTTGACACTGACCTGTCTGATGTCCCAAGGTCCTCACCATTTGGGAACGGTTGCTTGGTATCGTGGCAACCAAGAAGTTGTTACGTCTCCACGATCAGAAAATGACGTTAATGCGGAACCACGTATTTCCGTCGAAACGGAATGGAGTGACGCTCTTACATCAAGGTAACACGATTTTTTTTTCTACCTTTTATTTTTTCATTTTCCTATATACGTTAGTAGTCATCGGACGACAAAATGAAATATCGTATGATTGATTTCAAATAGAGAACAGATTTTAATTATACCGTAGGTTCTTTCCAATTGATACTCTCGACAAATTGCTAATTATTGCCACTGTGCGTGTGTTCGTATACTCTTGAAAGCATCGTTAAAAATTGCACGATATCAAAAAGAAAAACAACAAATAATACACCCCCAACTCGTAGAAATTCGTTGGGTACTATTTAATAAAATATACCTAACTCATACACATACACACACATCGACACAATTTTATTTTATATATTTAAATAGCACTTCTACAATGTTAAACATAAAGTTAAATAAATATACGATATCCATCGATACCGCGTACGCGTACTCTATATCGTATATTAATAAATTTACCATTGGTTATATATATTATATATGAATATTATCAATTATTTTCATCTCGAAGAAATAAAATACAAGAACGAGATAAAATAAAGACGAGTAATAAATAAATGATTCCAAAGTGAATGACGATATTGTAGAATATTAAAATCTTTTATGTATCCCTCTATACTAACGAAAATTCGGGGGAAAAAAAAATATTTTAAATAAAAAATACGACGATTGAAGATTTTTCTGTTCTGTCAGACGACAACAACAACAAATTTTCAAAATCGTGCAACATCTTTCAGAAATATCACGCATGAGTCATAACATAATATTTTTTGAAAAAAAAAGGATATACCTACCTAACAGCGTGGCATAGCACACGATGTAACGGAAATGCGGGGGTGGTGGAGGAGAAGGGGAAAAAAAAAGAAGAACACAAAGGGTCTTTCAATCGCGTCGACGTGAAATCCGCGACGGTGGAACGCGGTAGGCGGTTTCTCGTATATCGTTCGACGGCTTTGCGATATGGGTTATAACTCTGCTCGTAGATATCTCTATGAGAGAGAAAGAGAGAGAGAGAGAGAACGAGGCAAAAAAATGTTCCAATTTAAGAGCTACGCCAGGTACGCAGATGAAAATCACTCACAGCACAACGATCCTGCAATACGCGCGCGCATGCTCGTTGAAACGATATTTCATTCGATTTCGAAAATCGCGGCTCCTCCAGTCAGATTAATTGCTCTCTCTATTTCTCTCTCTCTCTTTTTCTCTCATCCTCTCTTTGTACCGTGATACGCGTGACGATTTCAATGACGCTAACAACTATGCTACGGTTTAATACTCACTTCGTTTGTTCATTTCATTTTTCATAAGATCATAGATCACGTAAGTTTTCCTTTTTTTTCATTTTTTTTTTTTATGTATTTAGGAAAAAAAACCACTTTTCAATTTATTCCTACGCGTGTGGCTTTAATAATGATTCATATTTTAATAAATCTTTATATATATATATATATATATATATATATATATGTATATCTATTCGATTTAAGATAAAAATATGAAATTTATTTCGAAAAGTTCATCCTTATGTTCATCCTTATCAAATTTGTCCTATTTTATGACAGAAAGATGAATGTATAGATGATACTTTTGTATGACACTCCCTACCTACGTAATATACTTAAAATATTGCACAACGGATATCAAACTAAAAGTAGTATGGGAGATCATTTGTGAATTAGATTTTTATAGTTCTCAAGTGAAATTCGATTTATCTTTTGACAGAAAGATAAATGTAAATACCTAAACGTAATATATATATATGTACTTAAAATGTTACTTGTATATCCATCCAAAAGACAAAAAGAGAATAGAAAATTATGTTAAAAATTATATACATATTACATATTAATTCTCAATCTACAATTCGTCTTATTATTTATCCAAAAAAATATATTACTTAAACAAATATTTGTAAATGTATTTAAAATTTGTAGAGATATTAAATTTAACAAAAAAACTAAATATATTAGAATGATACAAGATTGTTAGAGAATGTATAGTGAGCACGTGGCAGTAAACTGCTTGATGATACAGCTTGTGTATCTCTTGTATCAGTGAGAGAACAACGATGTCCTTTGTCAGGTGCGTTGCGCTCCGTGAAGATGCATCTGGCATGCTCTGCATTTTGGGTAGCCTCTTGTTAGAGAGAGAGAGAGAGAGAGAGAGAGAAGGTTAGTTCTATCTTTGTATACCCTAGCTAGATACTCTCTTGCTAGTCTCTCGTCTCTCTAGCCTGGAATATCGTTGTACGCATTACAGCCAACCACGTTCCACATATATATAGTATACATATATATCTATATATAGTTGTACATCTGTTTTTGGACGTGATTGACGATTGTCACGAGGCGCGATGCCGGTTACACGTGGACGAATTTACGAGCTTTTGTTCAAGAACCAACCGAATTAATTCTCTTTCACTTCTCAGCCACCCCACCTGAATCTCTATCTCTCTATCTCTGTCAAAATATAAACTTTGATTTATTTTATTATCATATATATACGAATACCTGTGAATTCCATTGGATTGACTATATAGTTTTTTTCTATCATATTTTTCCTATTTTCTATCCAATTGTCTTCGAATAATTTCAAACTGTTTTATATCAGATATTTAGTTTCTGATAATGTATCAATCTTGATGAATTTTTCTTTTCCATGATTTCCACACTTTATCGATTCTATTGTTCGGTTAGAACTAGATCAATCTTTGATATTAAAATTTCTTGATTGAAAATATTTGTAAAAGCTTCGTGTGGTACACTTACTGATACTTTTTTACTTCACTAATTATAATTATCTGAAAATCTCGTACGCCACACACATTTCGCATCTATCAATCTATAAAAAGTCTATAGACAAAGTCTATGTAAAAAGAGAGAAAAAAAAAAAGAAAAACAAACGGTATAATCTGAAAAGATTGTTATTACTCTCCGGAGAATGATACATTATAACGCAATGAAATCAGCTAGCTTGATACAACAGTTTTAACGAATGATCGATCAAGCAAACCACAGAGAATACTTTTTTTTTGTAATCTCAACGATAACTAGAACGGAGCAACGATTTCTATCTTTTTTTTTCTTTTTTTTTTTAATACGCTTCAATGGAAACCTCGGAACCCATTGAAAATCATCGGAACATAAAAATACATCTCTTACATAAACTACTTTACGAAGATTATTTGATGTTGGCATTATCATCATGGTTTAATGTACAATCAAATAAAAATATGCGGTTATCTTATATGTATTTAAAATCAGATTAAATATATCTTGATATCTCGACATCGATTAGTTGTTTCCCTGTCGTCAATGTGTCGATTTGAAAAACGACAGGGTGTTGTTGGAAAGTTGATTATCCCTCTCTGAAAGGGAGGAGGAAGTTTTCTATTCAAGTACGCGCACCTCCCGTTTGTGCTCGTAGTTTTCTTCTCCTACGATCTCGGACACCCAACAGAAGTGACAGCCCAGTATCGGTTCTCGAGGCTTTTCAAATACACCGATAAAATGCAACGCCCACGGCTGCTGTTGGAAGTTTAAGATGAACCTATCGAGACTTCGGGAAAATGCACACTCCTTTTCCTCTTTCTTTTTTTTTATTTTTTCAATTTATTTTTTTTTTCTTTTATTTTCTTATTTTTTGTTTTTTATTTAAAAAAAAAAAGAAGAAAAAGAAAAGCAAGAAACATTGATAAGTGTAGCCACGAGCCATTGGCTAACACTTTTAAAATACCATAGAAAAAGTCTATCGAATAGTAATCGAAACGGTTTCTTGCAACTATAACACGTTTCTTAAAAATTCTTGTCTGTTTTTTATCTACTTTTTTTTTTATTAGACTAGTTTTTCATTTTTCCATTTTTTTTTTCTTTTCTTTTTATATATGTATATTATCTATCTAACGTTTTACGGTGTTTCTATCGAAATAATAATTGTTTAAATATTTTCAAACATTTATTTCCTGAAATATAGATAGATATGTTATTAGACTTGAATAACAAAATTGAGGAATACTTCAAAGAGAGTTTACATTTTACGATAGAACTGATGTTCATTTGATGTTCCCGCTTTCTCCTTTCGCCTTATGTTTCAGATTGAGGATCACTCAAGCGAAATTGAGCGACTCGGGGAACTACAGTTGCGTACCAACCTTTGCGAAAAAAGCAAGCGTTACCGTTCACGTTATCAATGGTAAGTTATCTCAATGTTATAATATTTATTTATTAAAATATGTATATTTATTTTGTTTTATTTTATTTTATTTTTCTTTTTTTTTTGAATTCACGTGATTCGAAAAAAAATCACGTTTATGAAAATAATTGAAAAATTAACATAAATCTTTATTACATTTCATGCATGAAATGTTTTTCATATAATTTGTCGTCTTGACTTGAACTATTTTATTTGGTCTACTTTTTCTTTCTCTCTCTATCTTCGTGTCGCTTACATCCCATCCCTTGTTCTTAACCATCCCTTATTCTATCCTGTCTAAAGCATGCCCCTATCTCTTATACGCCGTTTTCCCTCTGTCCTTTGCCCTATCTCACCGACGACTAAAAAGAACAAAAAAAAATGCGGCTTTATGCTTCGAAGAACATTTTTTACGAACTTTTCTAAGAAGTTCGCGTAGGATACATGACATTACTTATTTCTATTATTTCGATATTAAAAAATACGATCCTTAAAGAAACAAAGGCTTTTCATTTTAAACGGGTATACGGTACTTTCTTCCTAATTGTAATAAATTTTTCAAATTAATCCCAAGTAAAAAGAAAGAGATCTACTTTTCTTTCTTCTTTTTCTATAAACTTTAGTGTTTACGAAAATGAAAAAGAAGATAATACAAAGTAATAGTTACAACGTAGTATCGATGATATTATTAAAATAATATAAACTTTCGATTTAAAATAATAATTCATTTCTTAGCATTGAATTGAAATGAAAATGAAAATTAACAAAAACAAAATACAAAGATAAAGAACAAAAAAAAAGATTTTGTAACGTATTAAAAGTTAGTAAGATTAAATTGACCTGGATTATTTTTCGTGATCCATCGACGTCGAAAAAAATTACGATGCATAAGTTCCATTCGTTTCTTTTCCGAAAAGTGGAAAAGACTTACACCGAAATAAGACTAAAAGATAAGAGATGATGAAAGTTTGAAAGGTCGAAAGAATCGAATTACGTTTGGGCAGAACGGAGTTGTAACAAAAGAGGGATAATGGTCGGTGAAAAAGCGGTACACTGTTTCGAACCTTTCGTAAGAGAGGAAAAAGGAGAAAAAGAGGAAGAGAATAAGAGAAAGGAAAGAGGAAGAAGGGGGAGGATTGACGGATAGAAGGGAATGGTCCGCAAATTACAGGCGCTATGCCGCGAGCTTTCGTCTAATTCCTCCTATTTACGGTGATCTTCCATCCGTGAACCAGTTTTGATGAGGGCTGTGCCACCATGCGTATGCTTTCAACTCTCTATATCTATATATCTGTATTCCCTCTCTTTCTGATTCAAGACCTAGGATAGGGCTTTACCTCTGTCCAAGTGAACCGAACTGGAATACCAACTTCTGAAAAGACGTCTTTCATTTAGCCCTTCGACGTCTTTTCTCCAATGATATAAAATTTCTTATTTTATTTCCGATGTTTTTTTTATTTCACTTTCTTTCTTTTTTTTTTTTTTTTACTTCTTATTTTGGTTCCATACGAAAAATATGCTTAATAAAAATTTGTTATACCGTTAACTTGATTATTTATAATTCGCTATGACTTTTTAGAATTTTTTTTATAATTGTTATACAATATATTTTATTTTCCTGAAAATTCGTACCGCGCAACATATATTTAAGTTTATTTATAACATATATTTTTTTATTTAAATATTTTATATTTATTATATAATTTTATTTAAAAATTTACATATATACTCAGCTAGGATCTTGTGATAGTGGTCCCAAAATATGAATAGAACAATCTTATATATAAAGTTAATATGAATAAATTATATTTAAAAAATTAGAAAATAAAAGAAAGAATAATAAATAAATATATTCATTTTATAAAATATATTTGCTTCTTTATAACTTTTGTTACGTATAAATGAATTTTGTTCAAATTTTTCGAACACATACGTATTATAAAACTATTAACACGTTGGACATTGTAATATGACGTTAGATTAACTACAAAGACTTCTTTTTTTTGTTTCGTTTTTTTATTTTTTACAAAATTAATAGCCCTTCGATCCCGTTAACGAAATCGCATGCGAAAAAACTCGACAATGAAAAATAACAACCAACGACAAAATCGAACGCGTATTCCATCGTCTTTATTGCGGTATTACGCTTTCAGCTGCAAAATGAACTTTTATGAGTTTAACCATGAAATCCTGTGTGACGTCGTTGTTAGTTTCACATTTGTTCATACGCTGCATCCGAATTTTTCCCCGTATCCTTTTATTTTTCCGTGACAACTCGTTAATATGTTTTCATCAATGCATTAAACTTTTAACGATTCTAAAGATCTTGGAAATAAATGTAAAAAGCTGTATAGGATTGATCGATTTTAATGATATTTATAGCATGTTTAATGTGAAAAAAAAAAATGAAAAAAAATAGCAAGTCTATCAAATGGAAGTGGAGTTTTTGTAAAAGCGCTCGATGACAAATTTGTTAAAAGCTTTTTATGTTTTGTTTTAAATTTTTTTTATTTTGTGTATTTTTTAAGTACACCTTCCTAAAGAAACACTACATTTCGTTTAATTATAGAAGATATTAATTTATCTATATTTATATAGAACAATTCTCTTTTTTGTAGATTATTGTATAGGAAATGTTTAAGTACCAATCATTGCAAAGAATAAAAATGAATAAACCAATGACGATTCTTTTAATAAATTTATTAACATCGAATTTAATAATAACTAGAACTAATAATTCTAACGATATTTGAAAATGACTAGAGTCATTAGGATTCGAACGAGGTTACCGTTTTGCTTATATTATTATCTCTGATCGATCGTAAAACGATAAAATAGGTCTTCGACAAAGTGTAGAAAGGTAGATGGAAAATTTGATCGTGTTCATCGTTTATTCCGCATTGGTGCATACTCGAATCGCCTGCTGGAAGATTGGAGTACGCAAATGTTTAAAGCACTCTTCTCTTCTTGGAGAAAAGATGGTATGAGTTTTATAGAGAAATTTAAAGGAGAGTATACGAGAGACGCATAAGGTCACCCATATTTTTTTTTCTCTCTCTCTCTCATTCTTCCTTTCTTTCTTCCTTTCTTTCTCCTTTCTCTCTCTCTCATTCTTTTCTTTTCTCTATCTAACTCAGTATTAACGCATTCACGTTTCGAAGATAATGCAGATAAATTGTTTTTGTTTAACGACAAAAAACTATCGCAACGTACATTTTTAACCTTTAATTTATTTTTTCTCCCATAATATAACTTCAACCCGTTCTACGTTGTATTCTAGGTAATAGGATATTATAAATCTTTCACAAAAAAAAAGAAGAAAAAATAGAGAAAGAATAGATTTAAAAAAATGATATGAAAATTTGAGAATTGTTGTAAGAATGATGGCGCCGAACATTGAGTATATTATCACGCCAGAAAAATAATAGACGGGAAGAGCATCCTTCAGTAGGGTTTAGAAATATGATGAGAGAATAAACCAAGACAGGATGATAAACCAGTAGCTTTGTTCGTAGCATTCTAAAGGCGAAAGACTCTTCAAGATCTATCCACGTTTCGCTCGTTTACCTTTTATATCTAACAATAAACTACGATCATGCTAATTCATCTCATTCTACGAATTTATCGATTATTTAAATGTTTAGTCAAATGATTGATATTTAGATTCATGATCTTTTCATTTTATTCCTATATACAAATATTCTTCACATTCAACATATTTCATCTCGTCTGATATAAACGCCAATTTGTTAAAATTCATCTTTTATATTCAAAAAACATTTAAACGTTGCAAGTACGTTTTCAACTTTATAAATATTTTTGCATTAAATTCTCTCGCGTAATCTTTATAAAATGTCTTTTACAAGAACATTGTTACATATTGTTTTTTCATAATAATGCAAACAAATTTTTTTTTTTATGTAGGTTCGTTCTCGACATATTTTTGATAAAAAGTATTAGACGAACGAATAACTTCTACCGACGCGGCGCCGATCTTCCGAATATTATTCATTCGGGCTGAGCTATATATGTATATATATATTTCATCTACAACTAAATACGATACACCAATGCATATAAAATCAATACCAATTGATGTATCGGATACACGGATACACATATTCAACCGAATATTTTTTTCCTCCCGCGCATGTAAAACGATACCAATTCGTGGTTCACATGTTTTTGTACAATTTTTTTTCTTTTTATATATTTTTTTTGTCATCCATATGCTAGAACATGTAATACCTATATTTAAAATCTGTAGTTTTTTATCATAGGAATAATGAAAAAAAGTTCTTTTGTTTGTACAAATGTTTAATTATTTGAATCTTCGAATAGAGAAAAGGAAAAAAAATACGGATTGGAAATAAAATGTATTGGTAAGGAACATCGTTAATGTTATAACACTACAGTAAAATTAGACAAACGAAGAAACTATAAATAAAAAGAAAAATAAAACAGAAACGAAAAGACGAGATGAAAAATTAGCATAAGAATTCAAAGTTTAATTACCGTTTAATAACGTACAAATAAGGACAGAATCCATTTCGATTTTATTATCCAGTTGGATTTTAAGTAAAATGCATTTGTACGATTACTTTTTCTATTTTTAATAGAAGAAAGATATAAGTAATTCTTCAAATCCTCGAGATAAAACACGTCTAATCGTACGTGCCTGCCTTTAATTACTCGGAACGTATATAAAAGAGTAAATTTAATTGCCGCCGTTCTTTAAGTACCTACAAGCTCGTGAAAAATAATGCTTTTCTATTTCGAGAGAAAGAGAGAAAGAGAAAAAGAAGAAAATGAAACAAAAATTTAACCCACAGCGTTTTTTTTTTCTTTTTAACAAAAATTTATGAATTGATCAAAATTCGCATCAAGAAACAATTAGCTCGTACCTGTTAATTTTTTTATTATTTGATAATCATTGTAAGGGGTGTAAAACGTTTTAATGATAAAAAACAAATCATCCCGGATATTACATTCTAATTTTT